GGAAAAATGTGTCTTTCTTGCTTGTCTTTAGCCATGTATGAGTCAACCTTTAGAAACTGTATTTTGTAGCCTTACAGGTGTTCAAAGTTCCTTTGTCTTCTTTTGTTCTGTTATTGTTTATTTTTTTTTCCTGTTTTTTTTAATGACCTAGAGACATGTCAGTACTATCATGTTGGTATGATACTACTGCTTTTATCAGTAAGATTAGATGACTGCAAAAAACTTCACTGCTGCATGCATTGGTTACTGATAAGAGTAAGGAGTTGTCATTATCTATGACAATACAAGACAATGGCATATGCACATTGGCTCATAATTTGCATCAGAAAATTTGGTGGTAAAGGAATAGTGAAATTTAGTATTTTCTAATGTATTTTCAAGGGCAGAACATAATGCTGCAGCGAGGACAGACTCCTGCAATTTGTTTTTATCCTCTTCCTCCTTCCAAACTTGACCTCACTTCTCCAGGCCTTTCATTCCCTCCAACATCAATTTTTCAACAGTGTTTTGTCTTCACAGACTCTTCATTTCAGCCTCAGTCTCCTGACTTAGCCAGTGCTGGCTTTCTCCTTGGCTTGCGGCCTGAGTCCCCTGCTGAACTCAGGATGTGGTTCTGCCAATCTAATTGTGGGCTGCTACTGAAAGGGGTAGTCCGTCCCGTTCCTCCTACTGTCTGCCCGGGTCTCCCTTGTGAGCTGAGTCAGGGAACTAAACTTGTATAGTTCCTTTTCTTTCAGTTCAGCTCTCTGAATCAGGTCATTATGGGGTAAAATGAGCACCAATGCTAAAAATCACAGCCAGGGTTGGAAGGGACAGTGGAATAGGGAGAGGAGGGACCACCTCTTTTCAGCAGCACTTGATAATTAATGTTTCATCATTAAACTGAATTTCCAGCTCCAAACTCCTCACCCTGCCTCTCTTGTGCTTCATTTTCCCTCTGTAGCCCCTCTTCCTAATGGCTTCCCATTTGTCCCTGCCCTTTCTGCTCCAATCCCAGAGATATCCATGAACTAATGCCAGCTATATTGCCCAGTTCCCTTTTTTCCTGTGTCAGACCTGTACTTCACTGATGTCTTGTAGACAGACTTTGCCAGTAAACACCTGTGGTTGCTCACTCAGTTGCTGTTTACAAAGTATTAGCTCAAGAGGATAGAAAATGGTTCAGCAAGTAAGACAGATTCTTCATTTTTATAAACTCTTCTCAAACCAGCTTTAATTAAGAAGCTTGTCCATGAAAAAAAATCTGAAACTGAACTCTGACAATATGTTATAAAATGGATAAAACCCCTGATAGTTATTAAATTCCTACAAATTGAGCTTTCCTCACTTTGAGCCCTTTGTATTAAAAATAAGGTGTGAAATAGTTTCCAACAATACTTAAGTCTCTTGTTCCTACTGTAATCAAATGCTGAATATCCGGGCAAAAATCTCTGTGTAATGCAAGTCAACTCCCATTGACTTCACAGGAGTTATCATGCTATATACGAGAGCAGAATCCTGTCTCTGTGAATAAAGGAGTTTTTTCCAGAGTGAGGGGGCTCTACACAATGAATGCATTTTTACCAGCCCTTTCTGATTCATTGGCAAACTCCCAAACACAAGAACTGTTTCTGTAGTCTTTCTACTCTCACAATGACAGACATTTTCTTTTACATTTTTAGTGGGAAGTCTTTTGTACGTATTTTTCTCATGAAAACGTGTGTCTTGGGATTTTGTACAGTGAAGTAGAAAATATTTTTCAGTAACAATATTTTTGAAGTTGTTCCTTCCTGCGTTTATTGTGTATCTTCTAATTCAGTTTAAACTTAGCTGAAGATAAAGAAGCAGATTTGAGCCTGATGCATACGTCTCCTGCAATTCAAAAGCTGCTTTGAAACGAGACTGGGCAGCGCCTCTGGAAGTTCCAGCAGCCCCAGGGAGCTATCCAAGATGTGCCAAAGTTGTGTCATGCTGTGGTCCACCCTAGACCCAAACTAGAAAACAAAGGGATAGCTTTCTACTTTTCAGGAATTCTCCAATGGACCAAAGTGAAATTCCCTTTAGCAACACATACACAAAAAAACCCAAAAAACCCAAAAAAACCAAAAAAAAAACCCCAAAAAACCAACCAACAACAACAACAAAAATAAAACAAACAAACAAACAAAACAAAATAAAACAACAAAAAAAACCCACAAAAAAAACCCCGCTTGTGCAGAAGAACTGCCCTCTACAGTGTTTCTGTATTGTTAACAATTACAATCTTGCCTCCTATCATATATTTTTTCCCAGAGTTCTACATGACAATTTTTAAAAGGAACTTAGCAGGTATGTTTAGGTAGTATTTTTAAAGTTTGGAATTTTTTGTGCTATATGATTTACAGTTTTATCATTATCATACCTTATTTTCAATGTGGTTTTCTTCCTGTTGTGCTCTGGAAATAAGTATTACTGATGACACCATTACAAAGATCAGATAAAGCTGCCTCTCCAGAGAAGCAAGAAATTGTTAACTGAGGAGCACTCAGTACTAAATGGTCTGTGAGATAAACCTACACTTGACAATGTTCAGACACCCATGTTCAGAACCATCAGTACCATTCCCTCATTTCTCTCTGTGGAACCAGCTCAAGTGTTTCAGTAACCACTTGACACACACAACTGGATTTTTTCCAAACCTGAGTTTAAACCTATCTTTAAAATGTATATCTAATCTCATGTTTAAAACCCAGGCAAATGTATTCCCACTATCTCTGCTGATATAACCTATTTAAATGTTTAATTGCCCTCGCAGTCAAGAAATGTCAACATTAGGTTTGTCTTGCTTCAGTTTCCAGCACATGGAGAGCATTGCCCTTGTCAGCCAGGTTGAAAAGGTCATACTATCGAGATCTCTTTCTTTTCTTTTTTTTTTTTTTCTTTCAGAAGCTAAATAAGCTGAAATGTGGAAGCTTCATATTCTATGTTGGCTTGTTTTCTGCTCCCTGGATAATTTTTCAGTACTCTTTGAACTATCACTAATATTTGCCTGCTATTGTAAATATCAGAGGTGGCTGCAGGTGTTTTTGTACCATTTCTTCAGCAATGTGTGCAGATGTCTGCTTTCTAGAAGACAGGTTTTTATGCCCATTAGATTGCATTAGTTCTTTTCCAGTTGCTGTGATGTAGCACTGCCAGGGCTGTGCTGGTGCCTGTCCAGGCCAGGCCCTGCGCACCCGGCCCCCCACTCTGGGGCTGGTGTCTGGACCTGGGCACACCAGGCTGTCCTCAGTCAGCACTTGGTGTTCTCTGGAGCATGGAGAGACCCTTCCATTATTTTACCTGGGATCAGTGTATAGCTCGTGGGTTTGTATGTCCATGGGTCAGGATATTGATCCTCCTCCATCTTGGAAATATTTTGATTTTCAGTGCGGGTGAGAATCCACTGTTCTATCCAAGTCAGGCTGGGCTGCAGGAGACTGCTGATTTTAAAAATGAGCATAATAGTTAGTAGTGTAAAACTGAGCCTCTGAAACTCACTGGAGCAGAGTACAAAAAGATTTCTATGTTTTAGGATGTGCAGACTGAAGAGTTTCAGTGATGCTGGATAATATTAGTTATTCTAATACTTTAGTTTACAATTTATTTAATTTTTAAAAATATTAATATATTTAGCTGTTGCTATTTCATTGCATAACGTAGGGCTTGGTCGTTCGTTCCTTAGAGACAATCTGATTTTTAAAATCTGTTTTAATTTCCACAGTTCTTTGCATCTAGTAAACTTTAATGTTATTGAATCCATATGATGCCCAGTCCAAAGAAACTGATATAGGTACATTTTGCTGACATGTCATTCCCCAATAGTGCAGGGAATTTATTCAAATACCTATTTGAATAAACTGGGGAAAATAATTCAGCAAAAGCAGATGTTAAAATGGAATGACAGTCAGTCTTTTGCTTGGTGACATTTAGAAGAAGAATAAAAATGGAGATGGCTTATTTCTGGCCTGAAATGGAATCTATTAGCTGAGCAGTGGGACATGGAGTAATTAGTGAGTGATACGTTATTTTCTGTTGTTATTCTACACGAAATAGAATTATTTAGTTGATGTTCTGTAACAGTAGAGACTACTGGAATCAGATGTTCAAGAGGCAAATAGATTTATTTTATTTTATACTTTATATTTACTGTTTTCTGGCAATATTGCAATCATTGTAATGATTTAAACTAACCGTGCTGATAAATATGTCATTCCTCCTAAGATATCTCTTAAACTGTGTCTCTTACATTTTTAAGATGTAGTCTGGTGTAGCTTTTTCACTCGGGTTTTGTCTCTATTTTTAACAACTGCTTTGATGTAGGAGCTCTCCTGGCACACCCGAGTTTTGCGAAGTCCGTATTTAATGCCCGTATGACACCGGCTGAGGGCTCTGTGAGGGAGAGCGCGCTGGAGCTGGCCCGAAGGGCCGGGGAGCGCGGGGGCTGCCGCTGCCATGCTTTGCACCGGCCAGAGAGAATTCCAGCTCTGGATCCGTGCCAGGGAGTAAATGGAGGCTGCGCCTGTGCTGCCAGCCGGGAGATGGGAACGGGGGCTGTGTGCTGTGTTACACGGCCCTTCAGGAGCGTGACAGCAGGGGAGCTTTTGAGCCCTTATGCTCCAGGAGTCACCTTGCCAACCTGCCCTTCTGTAGCATCTTGACACATTCGTGTTTTGTCACTCCGTGTGTCAGGGTGGTGCAGAATCACAGCGAGGGCCGAGATGCGGGGAACACTCGCGAGCCTTTCCGTCCGCTGGCACTTCTCTAAGATGGTTGTGCATCAGGACCCGCCCCGCCGCGCACCAGCCCTGGCGCTGCAGGGGCCGGGCACATGCGGGGTCAGGGCATGCCCGGCGGGCTCGGGGAGCGGCAGCCGGGCCGGGCCGCTGGAGCCGCGCGGGCCCCGCGGGCGCCATCCGCTCCGCCAGGCCACGCGCTCCTCCGCCGCGGGGCGGCGCTGGCCGGCAGGGGGCGCGCGCGGCGAGCGGGGATCGCGTGTGGGCGGAGCGCGGCGGGGCCCGCCCGGCGCGGGGGCGCGGAGAGGGAAGCGGGGCGGGACTGGGGAAGGTCCCGGCGTGCCCGGCCCCCGCCCGCTCTCCCGCCGGGCGCCGCGGCCGCAGTTACTTAGCGGTTGGGAGCGGGCGCTGGCTGCGGCTTTCTTTGCCGGGGAGGGTTTGCCGCCGGAGTGCGCGACGCGGCCGCTCCTCGCCTCGCCATGTCTAAGGAAACGAAGAAGCCCTTCCGCCAGAGCATGGCCGAGTGGCGGCAGTTCATCTACAACCCCAGCAGCGGCGAGTTCCTGGGGCGCACGGCGAAGAGCTGGGGTAAGGCTGCCCTGGGGGACAGGGGCGGGGTGAGGCGCCGACGGAGCCGAAGGGCGGCGGGAAGCGGGGCCGAGCGCGAGAGGTGGGGGGGGCGCGGGGGCGGGATGCGGGAGGGCCCTCCGCGGGGATGCGGGGACGCGGTGCGGGGGGGGCCCTCCGCGGGGATGCGGGTACAGGCTGCAGGGCTCCCCGCCAGGATGAGGGACGGGGTGCGGGAGGCTCCCCGCGGGGATGCGGGGGCGGCGCGCACCAGGTGAGGCGGCCCGCGGCGGCGCACGCGCCCCGGTGCCCGTTACAACCGCTGGTCTAAAAATAGCTCCGTCCGTGACAGCGGGGGTGGGGGTCGGGGGGAAGGGGAGTTCCCGGGGCGCGTCCCGAGATGACTCAGCGCCCGCCCCGCAGCCGGTGCGGGCCCGTGGGCTCCTCTGCCGGGGGCGCCCCGGGGGCCGCCGCGGTGCGGCCGTGACGGGTTTCCGCCGCGAGGTGCGGAGCGGCCCCGCCCGCAGCCCGCAGCCCGCGCGTGCCGGGGCCGCTCCCCCGCTCCCCCGGGCCCGGCGCCCCCCCCGCGCTCCGGCGGCTCACGGAATCCAGAATGAATGAGCGCGAACTGCCCGTGTACTCGGAGCTGCAGTTCGGGGAGCGTGAAGGAAAATCCCCAACCCCCCTCCCCAAAAGTTCATGAGCCCCAGTTCCAGAAAGTGATCGTTGTGTGTGGTTGTGCGTCATCGTGCTAAATTTGTTCCAGCGTAGGGCTTCTGGGCCTTTTATTTTCATAAAGGAAGCTTTAAATGAACCTTCTCCTATAAAGCCTGTGAAGGCAGTGTTTATTTTCCTATTTTCAGGTAGTCATCCTATTCCTTTCTTCTGAGCTGGAAAGCGTGTTATCCTAATGTGGTTGCTTCCAATAAAAATATTTTGATTTTCCGAGTGTGTTTTCTCATATTAAACAGTTGTACAAATGCTTAATATTAGGATGTTTCTTCAGCCCTCATGGGACATATTTTCTGACTTCAGAAAATGCTGTGTCTCCTCCCAAAACTTGGATGTAGTTGGGATACTTAATAGTTGTGCTTACAAAACCAACAAGACTCTCAGCGTGGTGTTAAGGAACAGGCCAATACATCCTTGGCCTTGACACGATCTCAATGAATGCTGATGTTGAAATAGCGAGGAGGAGCTTGAAGCGGACAGTGCATGGGGTGTGCTTTCTCTGCCGTGCCAGTATCTCCTGTCTGTCAGGAGAGTGCCCGGGCTCTGACTGGAGGTCCCCTCCATTCAGATGGAAATCAGAGCTTGCAGCTACTCTGCCAGTTGAATAGCAAAGGATAGGAAATTTCCACTATGCTGTTGTCTAGTGATCTTTCTGTACAAGCAGGTTCCCTCAAGTGCGTGGGCTGGGTGTCTGGATTGCAGAAGTCTGGCTGTGTCATGAGTCTGAGCTGCACAGACTGTAGATATGTTAGAAATAGCTTGCAAGTTTCTTGTTTTTTTTAAAAAAGATGAAGAAGAAACCATCTTCTCTGTTTATACCTATCTAGTAGGATAAGTCACTTAGAATGTTATTAGTCCATGTTAGACCAAGGCCCATAGATAATATTTGAGGTTGAGATGACTTGGTTACTGAGTTTTCACAGTTACTTGAGAAAGTAGCTATAGGCAGTTTGAATAACTTCAATTCATTAAGAAATAAAATTATAACTAATAATAGTTATAAGAACTACTCTATTTAGTAGTTTAGGTGATTGGCATGTGGTTACTACTATATACCATTTCCTCAGCCTGGATATGAGGAAGTGAATGTTCAGTAACACCATATTTTCAGTGTTTGGTTTGTTTTGGCATTCCATGATTAACATACTGTGCTTATATGATTTAATCTGACTATTTTGGGACGTGGTGTGTGGCTTTCTGTTTGGTTTTACTTTTTAATGGCGGGACACTAATTGGGTGGCTCTCTTGGCACAGGAGAATATGCAGGGTTTGATCTCCTGCTCTTGCAGTCGAGGTGTGTGTGAGCTTAGAGCTCTCAGGAGTACAGTTCCTTTTCTGTTGCTTGTCTCTAGGCTGAAAGGTGAGGACATAGGGGAGGAGAGCTCTGGTTGCCAGTTTGCTGGGTTGTCTTGTCTCCAGGGGCAGCATGATGAGAATTCAGCTGGCTCTGGTTCTTCTGAGCGTATTTCTCTTGTCTCAAGACAGCTTCCTCACAGAAACAAGACAGGAGCAGTAGAGAGGCCGTTAAGTTATAATTCACACTATGTGCCTGTTTTGCTCTAGTCTGACATAGTCGGGGGGCTTATGTAAATGGTAACTGCAAGGCAGTGATTGTCTGTGAATGCCAATGCTGTGGCATTGGAGTACTCCTCTCTGCCATTTCCAGTTCAGGATTTGTGAAAAGATCAAACACAAGTGGTTCTGTACTCATTTGTCATGTAACAGAGGTTGCATTTTAGAGTTTAGTCAAGAGCTGCATTTTACAGCTTGGTGAAAACTATATGTCTCCTCCTGCGGGAAAAAAAATTGAGACTTTCACCTTATTTTTTTTCAGACTTGAGGGGTACTTCAGTTTGAATCTTTCACAAGTTGATATCCAAACCTACACACACTCCCCCCCAAACTCTTCTATTTTTAATTTCTCGGCATAATCATTTGTTGTATTAAAAGAGACAGAAAACTGCTGACTTGAGTCTGTGCTGTTCTCAGCAGCAAGGCGTGAGGGGTGCTGATAGTGCTCGAAGAGGTGATGGGAATGAGGGTGGGTCTGGGGTGCACCCGGCGTTTAATCGGGTAGAGCAGGGAAAGGAGGATTCGGCAGACTGCTGGGTGGGGCCTTCCTGCAAGTGAAAGGAAGATCAGCGTCTGTTTCTGAATGTAATGGCAAGGTGCTGTGTCTGCCTGGAGTTAGCAAGGCTGGAGTGAGATCATCATAAACGTCTTGTAATGAGATGCTCACTGCATACTCAGATGTGTGCAGTGACTTACAAGATAGTTAATTCTTTTTGCATATGGTTAATAAAAGAATAATTTGTGCTAAAACAATTAGGGCAATATAGACTGTAGCAATACTTAATCTCTGATCACACTAGATGTCATGTCAAGCGTATTTAAGTCTTTCTGTAAAGGTGGTTGTGTCACTGTGTGTGAGGTAGAGGTGGCATCACCTTGAAGTGCATAGAAATTCAGACCTACTGAATTTTCTTTTGAATGCTTAGTTGTATCCTTTGGTGCATAGATAAGTGTTTGTAATTACAAAAAAGACCCCACGAAAAAAACCCAACACCTTATTTCTAGGAAAGCTTTCCACCATGTCAATGGAAATACTCTCTTGTTGGCCACCATAGCAAAGGATCCAGCTTTGCTTCTTTTTTTGTCTTCACTGGATTCTTGGTTGAAATTCAGTGAAGACAAAAAAAGTGCTGTCAGACTTTATCTGCTTTTCTGACATTCTGTCTTCTTTATTTGTGTTTTGAGCAGTGATTTAGGTTTCTTAATGAGTAGTGTAACATCAGACATTCTGGTATCACTGTCTGCCATTGCAGTAGAGTATTTTATTTTCCTTGGCTCAGAATGCTCTGAAAAATGGCATCTTGCTTTGTCTTGTAACACATATCAGTATGCTCTAGTAGTACAGTATGTGTATTTTGTGGTGGTGGTGGGGTGTTTTAAATGCTTAATCATGGCATCAGGTCCTGGCTTTTGTGTCTCTTTGCAAGTATTGCACTTAACAGTTTTTATTGTCTCCTGAGGTGTAGCCATGTTCTGTGAGGAGCCCTGGCCTATTGTGACATAAAATACAACATGGGACTGAGGTTGTATTTCTTCCTAGTCTTTTTTTTCCTCCCTCTGCTGTCACCCGAATCTGGCAAACAGTAATTCTTGAGTGTCCAAGTAATAAGATTGGAACATGATTAGTGATTATTTCATTTGTATTTAGGTTAAAGTAAGGAAATCACGGGTGAACTAAAACTCTGATGTTCCTGGTACTGGTAGTAGTCAGTAGGAACATCACTTGGGTGCTTAAATCCCACTTGTTGACGATTCTGAAGGACGACCATGCAGGTGGTAGGATCAGTGCAATATGGAATCCAACAGACCATAAAAACAGAATTTAATTTTGTTGTTGCAGGTAATGTTGAGTAGTTGCTACCTTGTTTGTGGGAGTGTTTATATTGATAGCTGTCTATATCTAACTAAGCATTATGTACAGGTAGATTTGTCAGTCTGGTTTATGCCAGAGAAACGTGCTTTTCGTTGCTTTTGCCATGTAAAGTTTGGAAAGCTTGTATTGCATGAAGATGCTGGCCAGGCATGTGTTATCTTGCATTCACCAGAGTCAGAAATTCTAATTTTCACAGTGGAGAAGTGTTTTGATTCCTGTAAATGAATTCCAGCTAATGACAGTATTAACATGTTGGTTCAGAAATTGAAGTCTTCCAGATTGGACTTGCTTGTCAATGTGGTTAGGATATGAAGAAGTGTTTTTCATACTGTGATGCCCTGCAAGAAGAAAAGCAAACCAAAACAGCTAGGTAAATTGTAATGCAGAATTTTGGTTTCGAGTTTTTCTTGTGTTATCATTTCAGTGTACAAGATGTTCTACAACAATTGAATTGGGTTGCATGTTAGATGTGGAAGCTGTACTTTGTTTGGAGGAAATATGGAAGATAGCTTTCCGCTGTTACTTGGGTACATCTTGTTTCCTGATGAGAAATCCAGTGTTATGTGAAGTTATTTTGGCAGAGTTTCTTGACAGGTTATGGCTTGCTCACTTGATTAGCTAAGGATAATTAGTACTAATAGGCTCACAAAGAGCAGCTTACTCAGTTTGGAGCTGTTGGAAGTTGCAGAGGGGATTTTTCTTGTTTGTTTTTTCCCTCTTTTTAATGTGGCAAAGTAATGTAAAGGGTCAGTTTAGTGGTTAGCATTCTGCAGTGCATTTACAAGCTATATTAAAATAGAGATTAAACTTTGCTGGGCTGGGGGAGGCTAGTGGAGGTTCAGGGCTGTGAGTAGGAGCAGCCTTTCCAGCCGTGTTCCTGCTGCATATCCCGGGTGGTTGGGCTGCTGCTGGAAGGAGCGAGGCTGGGGAAGGTGCTGTTCTCATTGCCGGCTCCACCACGGGGTGGGGATCACTGTTACCCCTGTGCTGATGCTCTCTCCGGGCTGTGAGGGGTCCCCAGCTCTGCCCTGCAGCTGCCCGTGGTGGGGAAGGGGTCCCAGCGCTGCCGGCCCTGCTGGAGTGAGGGGCTGTGCAGGTGGCTGGGGCACCCGGAGCTGTCCCTTGTGGCACCTGCCCTTGGGGTCAGCTCCAGGCCAGCAGTGCAGGTGAGGTGGTGGTGCTGGCCCAGAGCAGGAGAGCTGCACGCCATGGTGCTCTCACTGCCCGTGTTATGCTCATCAGTTTTTTCTTTTTCCAATGAAGTTTGGCATATTGTTTTAGAAATTAAATACGAGTGTATTCTGAAATAACTTCCCTGATTTTCTTGCTTTTACTCTACTTGCCACAGTAGCTGCTTGTCTTGTCTTACATGTCAAATTCTTCTATTCCATTGAGACTCTTTGATTAATGTCTCGGTCACTTGATGGAAAGTGTACTTTCTAGACAGTTTGATGAAAGTATCCACTAGTTGATTAACTTGTATGGATCAAAATGAGAGCTTATCAGAGGTTTTGTAAGGGAGCTTTTTTGTTTGGTTGGTTTTGTAATACCCAGAACACAGTGGATATTAATCAGAAGATCCTTGTTCTGTTTTAAATCCAGTTAAAGCAATTACAGGCTTGTAGGTAAAACATTGCTGCTATGCCCAATACAGATGCAGGTTTTGTAATGGCTTTGGTTAACTGGAATTTCTACTATTTGTTTTTATGTCCTCATTTTAGCAGCTAAATGGCTTCTAAATAACCTTAGCAATCATTCACAATGGATGTCCAGCTCTTTTGTTCATTATAGAGTAATCTTGTTTTTGTGTTTGCATACTTTGCTACTTCTAATTGCTGCATAGAATCTTATATCTTGGTGGTTTCAAGTGTATTTTAAATTGCTGATAATTTTCAGGTTATTGCAGATTGGTAGGTAACTTCTTCAACATGTGAGATTGAAAACTAAAACCGAATGGAGAATCCACTGACATTCAGCTGGTTGCTGTTGAGAGCTTTACTTACAGTAAAGAATTTGGAAATTTCCTTATTGTAATAGATGTACACAGAGTTCTTTTGGGAGAAGTAAAACAGGTACTTGGATTTTTAGCAGTCATGGCTTTCTAAGTACCATACTACACTAGAGACTATTTCAGTGCAAAATGCAAGAATAGTTTCTGAGACAGGAGCCAGGGCTTAGGCTTCCTTCTGTCCTCTTCCAGTGGACAGTACACAGCACTGGGGTGCAGTTGTGTTTACTTCTGCTCTTTCCTTTTCTGTGGAAGATGAGAAAGTTCTGCACTTGATTCTCGCATGTAATCAAGTGTCAGTGGTAGGATATTACATAATGGTTTTGAAGTGCTTTTCTTCATACCTGAGTTACATCTCTGGCTTCTGATAGCACCCTTACGGCTAGAATATCCAGTAAAAACTGAATTTGTGTCAACATTTGGTTATGTTTTTGCATTAGAATGGTTTTAAAGATGCCTCTCAGTCCATGCATCTAGTCCCCTCACTACTTTTAATAGCTCCCTTTTTTTTTTGACAAAGCCTCTGCCTGTGTTCTTAAGTCTCAGTCTTAAAACAGAATCCCACACATTTATTTAGGTTGGTATTGAGTGCTCAGTTAATGAAACAAGTTGAAGCTGGTAATATCTGTGTATTTGGTGAATTTGGTGGGGTTGCTGGGTCCCCAGGGTAGATTGATAAAGCAGGTGTGTGTGTTAGGCTGGATAAATCTGAACAGAAGGCTTGGTTTGTTTTCAAAAACATGTGGCAGAAAGCATTTTCACCTGGAGAAGTATCTTGTGACTGGACGTGTGTGAAGGACTACTCTGCGTGGAGTTCCCTCAAATATCAACTATCTTATTAAAGCACCAATTGCTCCCTCCCTGGTCTGGATCCAGTGTAATAATTTTATCTTTTCCCTCAGTTCTTTCATCTTCCCAACAACCAGATAAAAGCTAAAATTCCTGTAAGCAAGTGACAGTTTATTTTTTTTGTAATGCACTGCTTAGTAATTTTTGCTAGCTTTCCTGTATAGCCCAAAGAGTGTTTTTGACTGCTTCTCTCTTAAAAATAGAGATGCCAAAATGGCCTATAAGCTGTAAGAATCAGAAAGTACTAAGAAAATCTCTTTGTATGCATTATTGTGCGCTGTGCATTACATATGTTTGCTAGAGGCTTATTTATGACTACAAACATTGTATTGCTAATTTACCATTTCTGATTTTCAAAATAGGTAATGGAATTAGATGAAACAAAATAGTAATTTTATCTTTTTCTTTACAGGATTGATCTTGCTATTCTATCTGGTGTTCTATGGCTTCCTAGCAGCACTCTTCACATTCACAATGTGGGTTATGCTTCAGACACTGAGCAGTGATATACCCAAGTACCGGGACCGGATTTCTAGTCCAGGTAACACTGGGTTTATTTTTTCATTAACTTCTGTCTAGTTTAACAACTGAATTTCATTTGAGAGCTCTTTTGAAGTATGCACCTCTTATGGGAAATAGTCATCATTATTCAGTTACTTGCAGGTTGCAAAGGTAAAACACAGTGTGAGGCAAGTTATATATGTTTATAGCATAAATTCAGGCAGTAGCTTTTTTGTGTTTTTTTTTTTTTTTTTTGCTACATTTTGCTGATTTTTCCTTTAAGCACTTCTCAGTTGAATTTGTCATGTAGACCACAATTTTGCCTGTAGATCCATACAGCATGCTGATGTAGAAGTTGGTTTATAATTTAATCAAATTGCCATAAAGATATTTAAACCACTTCTCTTGGATCGGGTGGAAGGCCACCTTGATTAGTGTTTGATACTTTGCAGAAGGTACAGGAATGCTGTACTGTGGGTGTGATCTGCTCAGGAGCATGTAAGGACTGTGGGATAGAGGCTTTTGCAGGGTTTTATTTACAGTATTAGATAGTTTCCAACTGACATGGAATGTCTGTGGATGTCAGGAATTGTAGACCAGTTATGTGGGGATCCACTAGACTAAGGGCCCTGTTTATGACGAAGCTAAGTCTGTGAAACACGTAGCTGCTACTGAAAGTGGTGTCTTGCTTCCTTTGTGTACTGTCCACCTGTCTCAGTGTTGGCTATTTCAAGGAACAAATTGTATGTTAAAAAAAAAAATCCTGTACAAATAAGAATGAGTAATAAGGTGGTTGTCTTCGCCAATATAATAATATATTGATGGAAGTGAGACGACGTTACTTTTTGAAATACTTTTTTCCTTTTGTTGAATACCAAGTTCTTAAAATGGAACATCATCTTGCAGCTGTATGTGCACTTAAGATGGTACAGTGATCTTCGTGTGAGCAAGTTGCAGTTGGGCCAGTGTGATAAATGTCTCTGGATTGTGAACAGAATTTGTTTTGGTGTAGTGTTCTGGCTTCTCTAACAAGTGTCATATTTTGAGGATTTGTGCTGTTTTTTCAAGCTAACAATGGGCTAGATGCTCAAAGGAATAATAAAAAAGAAAGAGAAGGAAAATAAATGAGGGAAGAAAAAGGTGGCTTAGTTGACCATTTCTCCCCATTTCTATTGTGTCTGTTGTGGAAGTCAGAAGCATCATAGTGGATGGAGCTGTGGGTAGCTGTGGCTTAATGCTGGACTTGAGTGACATTTCTTCTCTCATATGGTTCAGAGTATTAATTTTCCTTGGCTTTGAAATAAGTTTTAAGGGATGTTTGTTTTTAAAAGTATGTATAGCACAATAAGTTCTTAATTGAAGAATTCCTGTAACATTTCTGAATTAAATCTCTGTATTAACCATATCTTTAGTAGCTCATACATTAAAGTTAACCAAGTTGCTTGTTTCTGTTTTAATGTTTCTCCTTAACGCTGTTGTTTTTCATTTGCAGTGAGACATGTAATGTTCCTGGCTGTAAACTTAAATTATATTAAAAAAACTAAAATCTACACACAAAACCTGGATGCCGTAGGTCAAAGGTTCTCCTCTTACATTAAATGTACTTGGAAATATCACAGTTGATTTATTTTATAATTGATATCTGAATTGCTTTGTACACTGCGATACAATAGTATAAATCAAATCCAGATGATTTTAAAACCTTTTTTAAATCCCTCCTGGAATAGTAATATAATGTAATCTCTTTTACAATCCTAGATGTGATCCTGTGCTGAGGCTGTTAATTCTGTTCCTCTAGAAGAGCTGAAATCCTGCATCTCTCTGTCTGTGCATCACTCCTTCAAATAGCTTCTTCTGCAGAATTTACACTATAGTTTTTAGGCAGAATGTAATCCACTGGAAGTGGAGCAATCCCCTCTTCATAGGCTGTTTCTGACATTCCCCTGAAGCAGTAAATCTCTTCAAATTATTTTTTCTTTCATTGATGACTAGTTAGTTATTTTGTCATATGTCCTTTGAAAAATACCATCTAAGTGCTTAATTTACATTATAGTTATGTTGATAATAATCTCTTATTCCCTAAAAGCTCCTAATGTGTAAAACCCTCCCAGTGATTTTTCATCCCTGCTACTAATTGCCTTCTATTTTGTTGGATTCCAGTTCAGTGTGAAGGCCAGAAAATTACTGTAATGGTGCAAAGTAGTCTGCATTCAAAATACGGACTGTTAGTCATTAAGGCCTTTACTTGGTGGCTTCTACGGAAATAATTTAACTGCTGTTATTGCAAAAAAGAGGATTTATTATTTATTTGGAATCCTATAAAAGACCTAGAATAAAATACATTAAATTTTATCTGGGTTTTCTTTTAAAGCTGAACGACATTTGTTGGTGATGAGTTTCTAGTATAGATGTTTATTATTTGCAAGTTGCAAGTATTTGTATATATTTTCTGCCTTTGGATGAGAAGCTTGGCCATTTCTGTAGGTAAATCCTTAATAGACCTGCGCTGCTGAACTACACTCTTGATATGCTTTACTAAACCTTATTGTGATGGCTAACTACAGTAACCTGACTTTATCTTACTTTCTTAAATGTTTATTTTTTTTTACAAAGATGACCTGGGATTTTTTGAGGGAGTGTCTTTTGTTGCCATCAGGTACCTGTGTAAGTGACAGCTCTGATGGCACAGGCTGCGTGTATCTGTACGCCTTTTGCTTTCACCTGCTGCAGAGAAATCCCTGAGATTGAGCTCTGCAAATTTCTGGGCCAGTTGCTGGGAAGCAGGGGCAGTTCAGCTCTTGAGAGAGCCATGCTTACATTATTCCATGTGTGCCTTGCCCATCCTCCAGCTGAGGCTGGATTCAGCCTTTGGTATCCATGGCCTGGTACCTCGTACAGCTCTGGCTCCTGGCTGCGGGTGGTTCCTGCCCAGCACCCCCAGGCAGCAGCCGAAGGGAGCTGGGCTCCCCCCACCCCGAGGGGACACTGGTGGGGCTCCCCATCAGAAACACTGGGGTAACTTTCAAGCCACCTTTGTATAATCAAATTTTTAAATTTTTTTTTCTGGGTTTGTATGAGAATAATACAATCATAGCTTCACTTTCTATTGCCTAAAGCTTTGAACTGTTGCTTGAAGTGAAGATTTTCTGGGTGTGCTTTTGGGTATTTTTTCAGTTATTTTTAAAGCTTAACTTGCTGAGTGTGGAAAGTGGATTAATAAAAATCTTTGATTGAAAGTGATTAAACTGCTGATTTTGCTTTTCCTAATCACTTGGTTTGGTTTGTGAATTGCAGTTATACATTGGGTTGGATTTATATGTTAATTAATGTAATGATGATTTTGATTACTGGCTTCAAACACAAAGTACCTTCCAGTACTGTGGAATATAGGGGTAACATTAATGTTTCTTTACAGATGATAGACATTTTCCAATTTATGGATGTTTGAGTAGGGGCTAGAGTGGTGAAGGAAAGATAAATTGCTTAGTTCCTAACTTGAACTTTCTATTTTTAAGGACTTATGATTTCACCAAAGCCAGACACTGCATTGGAATTTTACTTTAACAGGAGTGACAGCCAATCATATTCAGAATATGTTACTACACTTCAAAACTTCCTTGAATGTAAGTTACTCACAATTGCCCAAGTAATGTAGGAGTGTTAATCTTGAATACATTATTTCATTTCTTGCTTGTAGTTTCTAATTGCTAATGGAGACTAATGCAAGTCCAGGGTTACTGTAGATACATGTGTTATAAAAGTCTGTATGTCACAAAAAACGGTGAGTATAATGCCTGTATTGGACAGGGAGCCTGAGCATGAGGAATAGTGCAGTACATAATGGAGAGTTTTGGATGATGTGGTTATTTAAAAATACTGTAAGGTGTAGAAATTGCATATGCCAAAAGAATTTCATTTAAAATAACATAGGGTCTTGTATTTGGAGGCAAAGTTTGTCAGGACTTACCTGATTAGTCTTAATGATTTGGTAACTGAGTGAGAGTACTTTAGTCTGAAGAACTTAAGTGTCTATTTGAAGAATGAGGCACACAAAGATTAAATTAATTGCAATTTATTGATTTTTCACTCTGATACACAATATCTACACACAGAAATATTAAAACACTGTATTTAGAACATTGAGAAAAGGTAATACAGGTCAAATCTGAAGGGTGGGAAAATCACTGGTTTGTCATACATTATTTTATGCATGTGCCTATATGTACACTTATTCTAATAATATGGAAGTAAATTGAAAATATTAATAAGTTTAACCCCTCAGAAGTTGTAAGTCAGAACGAGCAAGGTGCTGTGAAATCTCACCTGTGTGTATGAGTTACTTACTTGACTCTCTCCATATTCACAGTTTTGGTGCCTACTGAAAGCTTTTATGAGTAGGCTTTTATTTCAGAGCTCTGCCAAGGGTTCCTGAGAGGAATGCTGCATTTCATGACTACCTGCCTCTCCTGCAGTTCTGTGGGTCTTGTATCAAGGATGAACTTTCCCTTTCTCTATTTTACCATATTAGCTGGGAGCTGGAGTGTAAGGGAGGAGAAGAAACCATAAAGTATCTTAATGGTAGTCATTTAGCATTTGTGAGAGTGATCTGTGCACTTCAGAAGCACAAGAAAGTGAGAAACAACTTGAGATGTTAGTATACCATAAATTTTACTATCTGATGTAAATGTAGAGGCAGTTTAATATTAATTATTGAAATAATTTTGAATTTTCCTGTGTATTTGTAAAAGAAATGTGTACAAAGGGAAAACTGGTTGTTTCCGGATAAAAACTTTATTGTTTGTATTTTAATATGTTATTGGTTTAGCATACGTAGTTAGTTTATATACAGATATTAATGAGGTGGTGATTATTGTTACAATTTAAAAACCAGGAAATTACTAATTCTTCTGTAATACTCTCATTCAAGTACACTGCTACTTGTCTGTAGGGTTTGAAAAAGGGTTTGGTAAGATGGATGTAAGATACAGAGCTCTGAAAATGCTTCTTTGAGAAAACTTAGAGAAGTACACAATAATTGTTTATATAGGCATCTGCAGGTTTTGGCTAGTTATATTCTTTATACCATTGATTCACAAGCTGTTTTTGTTTCATAGCCTATAATGATTCAAAGCAGTCACAAAACATAGACTGTACCCGGGGAAAGATCTTTGATCAGAGCGATGCTGCTGTTAAAAAGGCTTGTCGATTTAACCTCTCTGACCTTGGCCAGTGCTCTGGGAAGGAAGATGCAAATTTTGGCTATTCTAAAGGAACTCCCTGCGTGCTTGTGAAAATGAATAGAGTAAGTACCTACTTATTTTGTAGTTCTTAGTACAAGTGCTCCCAGCCACTGCTGTATGAAAAAATTACTGTGGAAAGGACTGAAATATGTGTTCAGTTTGCTGCTTAAGATATTTGCATTTCTTGAACAGTGTAATTTACTGAAACACTGAGCAATTCCAGAGAGTAGTATGAGGTGACCTTTTTAAGCATTCTAGTACTTACTAGTATCAGCTTTGATGACTGGCACCAAAATATCTATCTTGTTTTCAGAAGTATATTGTTCTTTGCTTTTACTTACTGTCTTGTGAAATAGATTCTACACCACTCTGCCAAGTAAAGTGTTGTACTTCATGTCTGTGTTCCAGAACTCTTAACATAGTAACTCTAATGCATTCTGTAACTCTTTGAACTATGAAAAGTGAGGAAAAGTACAAAGTATTTGACTTTCCAGTGATGTCCTGTTACTGACTGATGAATGATGTACCTGTTACTTGAACTGATTTGAGCCATTAAAATTACATGCTAAATGTAAAATAAACAGTACTTTCTGTGACTACTGTAACTATCTTGAGTTAACCTGAGTAAACTATTTAACTTAACAATGCTTTAAATCTTAGTCCTAGTTTAAAATTATGTTCAGATGAAAATTACACTGGATAGGCTTAGTCCCTGTATGAGCTTATATTTAGTGAGGGAAAAACTCAAATTCAGTGTGTGTAGAAATGGAAAGGGGGAAAAAGATTTGTAAATATTTTAACTTTGTCTTCTTTAGATAATTGGATTAAAGCCTGAAGGAGAGCCACATATAGAGTGTACCCCTAAGGTCAGTTCAGAATGTAAGAAATAAGTGTGTTACTGATTTTCCTTGTGATAACGATGAATAATGAAGTAGTTTATTTCACTCTTCCCTCCTTCTTACAGATTTTGTACTTTTATTTGTGTTTTTCATCTTACTATATGTCTAATTTAGTTTAAGTGTCTTTAATTTCTTCAGTGTACCTATAGAAACATTTTTTGGTTGTTCTTTCATCTTTAGATGTGTTTGAACTACCTGTTTTGGTTTAGATTTGAGGAAAGTGAACATGTGTATTTGTTGTCTTGTTTATTTATTGTGAGTTATATTTTGTTTTCCCATTTCATAACCTATATTTTTATTTTTTCTCCATGCTGCAAGTGCACCTTAGACAATTTTATAAATGATGGGTAAGACTACTGTGTGTGAAAACTAATGTTACCGCTCAAGTAAAAGTTGCCTTCAAGTCAAGTATAAACTACTTATAATAACAGCTAATATTTGCATATTTGTTATGTACCAATGGATTTACACAGACTGTTTTATTGCAATTATAATAATTACTTTGACCTATGGGTATTTTTCCTAGACTGCTTGGGGAGCAGTGAAAACGTTGGTAAGTCTGTAGCTTGAGCAAGGGGCAGAGTCCTGGCTTTTAGCTTCTGGTGACTGATAAAAGTGTAGGCTGGGAAATATTAGCAATTAATGAGACAAACACTTGTAAGGGTTTCTGCCTTCATCCTAGATACCTGTGGTAAGCACAGATTTTAATACTTGATTTTTGTCAGTCTTTGAAAGTTCTGATCTCTCCAGGACAGTCCATAGCAAACAAAGGTGATTCCTCCTCTTACTCGAGACTGATTTATTTGCTTCCATTCACAAACCTCACATTCTCTTGTACAGAATAAAGGAATTAAACTCATTCTACTTCTACTAGTACTCTTTTTTACTTTGACTAGCCTAATTTATAATTTTGTTTTGCAATGCGATATTCCATACTAGATAGAAGTTTGCCTCTAGCTGAGGTATTGTTAATGACAGCATTTCTCCCTTAGTGATCATATTGAAAGCAAGGTTAATTTGCTGTTTGTAATACACTGGTCTGTATTTTAATTGTTTTACTATTTAAATCATTCTTCTGGTTATTTCCCAGTCTTTATTTGTAGATGTGATTTCTCAAAGTTTGAATTTTATAGGGCTATTTTTGGCCCTCCTCTGTCATTTTTTGTGATCATTTTAACAAGATTAAGGTCTTTGAAATGTTTTGCACTATTTAGCTTGGTGCCATCAATGAATGAACTTGGGTTTGCTTCTCAAGTCCTTATTGAAACATGGAATAGGATCCAGAGCAGTTTTCTTCATTTCCACCAGAAATGCCTTGTGAGGTGTTGAGAACTAATGTTCAAGTGATTTATAAAATATTGATGGCAGTCCTATTTTCTGATTGTATTTCTTCAACTTCTGTGTATGGATGCTCTATGAGACAATAGTACAAACTGTACTAAGCAGATGATACTTCTTCTTACCCTCTTAACTGGTTTCACTAGCAAAACAGTAAGCTTGATAACAACTTGCTTGATCATGGTGGTGGTTTTTGCTATTTTTTTTACCCTTTGGGATACATAGAAATGTGTGAGTTTTCTTGCATCCTCTTTCTGTAAGTACAAAGTTCTTCTATGGTATCCACTTAAGATTTTTGTGATCTACACAAGTGTCGTGGTTTTGAATTTTGAAATTATTAATCTTACTAGTTTTTAGTGACTTCCAGTGAAGTATTTGTCAGGCTTTGCTATTTTGAATGCAACTATTTTATCTTTATTAGCCTATTCTCAACCTAGCTCATAATGATCTACTTGCTTAGGAAAGCTTAGGGACCAGTTAGAATTCATCCTGTTGATTTACTGTTCACTGATTTTTATTTCCCTTTCATCTCTGTTTTTAAATATTTCTTACAACCGTCACTGAGTGGATAAGGTTGGATGGGACCACAGTGGTCATCCAGTCCCACCTCCCTGCTCAAAGAAAGGTCATCCTAGAGCCCGTGGCACTATTCCAGACAGTTCTGGAATATCTCCAGTGAGGGAGACTCCACATGCTCTCTGGGCAATTTCCAGTGCTCAGTTACTGCCCAGGAAAAAGGTTCTTCTTCATGCTCAGATGGAACTTCTGTGCATCAATCCTACATGTATTGAGAGCAATTTGGAGAATGTCTGCCTGGACTTAACATACCATCTGACTTTAAATGGTATTTTTGCTTTTACAGGTCTCTCAAATACAAAATTAGTTCAATAGCTTCTGTCTGCTCACCCTGCCAGTCTTGGCTACCTGAAACAGCATTTTAAGTTTTTCAGTGTGGAATTTATGTTCTTCAGGTATTCTCCTGCAAGGTGAATCTTCTTTATTTTCCCTGCACTTTTTATATGGGATTTTTTTAATACAGGATTTTTTTTATTGTAAAAATTTTAGATAGATGGGTGATTTCAGAGTCAGCACACTTACAGCTGGGGATGCTTCCCCCTCTGTCCTCATGGAGTTGAAGCTGTCATCACTGTCATTTCTGTAGATGAGGGGTGTGAGCGTTTGCAGTGTCAGACTCTCTTTACAACTGGTTCTTCCTCCTGCACTCTGTAGGAACTAATCTGCTGCAGTGTTGAGAGTCTCCAGAAAGAGAAACAAACCAACAAAAGATGCTGTCTCCAAGAAGTTTGAAGATCAGAATTTTAGGTCTTTACTTTGGAGCCAGAGTTGTGCAGTTTCACTACTGCTAGAATGTCTTGCAGCAGTATTTATTTCAAGTTAAAACAACCTTTACTGAGAACTGGCAAATCTGATGGGTTTTTAACTAGAGAAAAGAAGCCTTAATTCAAAAATACATCTTTTTCTGCTGTTTATTGACCATCTTGACTTCATGTTAGGTATCACTTTGTAGTTGACAAGAATGAAGAATGGTTGTATGAATGACACTCTTATGTGCTTTGCTTTTGTCAGCATACTCAGGATCTGAATTACCTTGCTTTTTGTGATAGAAATCTGTTGTACAGTTTCTACTAATGAATACTGCTCTTTATCTTCTCCATTTCTTCTTGTCAAGTGATTATAGATCATTCCTTCCCAAATTCTTTCCTTGGGTCTTCATTATATTATTTCTTTAGTGTATTATTTCAACATCTGGTAAATTCTTCTTTCTAAACTACAGTCTTAAGTAAGACCCAGTTAGAGGTGGAAGTCTGTTTGTCCAGCTGCATTGTCCAATTTTTAGATTTGCTGACTGTCAGTAGTTCTTTGTGGAAACTACATGAGAAGCAGAAAAAGTTACACTCTCCAATGGACTGATTCTTAAAGTTCTTCAGCAAATGCAGCTTGTTTAGGTGGTTTTTTTGTTTGCTTTTATTTAATTGTGTAGGGATATAAATTAGGATTGCTTATTCAAGATGATCTGGAGGCCCCCCCCCCAGCAGTTGCATTAGATAGGCAGCTGCATGTCCCAGAACCTCGCAGCTATTGCACTGATAGCCTAATGCATATATTTAGTGTATAATGATGACTGCATGCATGCCTTGTATTTAGCTGCTCCAGAAAGCACTACTCCTATTTACTTTGCCTATGTTATTCCATATGCTGATTACTTAACCATTATTTCAGCAACATATTTGCAAAGTATTTTCAGCTGCATGAGCTTTAAATAAAATAAAGAATAATGGTAAAAATCAACATATTCCTGCTTAATAGTTATATGCAAGCTCAAGGTCCAAAATACTTAATAAATTTATATTAATGATTGCAGTAATTTAAACTGCAGAGGAATGAGAATGTGGCCATATCCTAAAAAAATATCGTATGTTCTTTTGAGGAGGTGAAAAGAAGGTAACCTTGAGCTGTGGTTTGTTCTTAAATATGTTTTGATCATATTGCAGTTGTCTTCTGAATTTTGTAGGGATCCATTTAAAATTACAGCTGTTGTATATAGTAATAGAGAAACAACAATGAAACTTGCTAATACACTTTGAACTTGTGAATTACATGGAACAAGCAGTGATGTTCTGAACTTGTATTTAGTATTTTGAGGTGGTTGTTTTCGTGCAATTTCTCTTAGTTATGGTACTATATTTAATTTTTTATAGAAAGTTACAGATGTGGGCATTTCCTAATGGTATAAACTTGGAGCAGCTTGTTTTTCTGCCAGGATATACAGTCTTGAAGAATGTTGTCTGTAGTGAGACATGTTTGTGTATTGCTATACTGATCACCTGTGTCTGGACAGCTCAATCATACAAACATATTTTATGTATCTTAAGGATTGAGTGACTCCTTTGTCAGAAATTAGACAGCAGCTTTGTAGGTAGCTTATTCCAGGATTTGGTGTTGCAGGGGCCAGTTGAGTAATAAGGCCTGCATGTGTATATATTGTTCCTCTGAGGTGGTGATATAACTCCAGCAACATCACCATTTTACCCATTTGGGTTTCTTTTTATCTGACCTGTACTTGAAGGATAGAGGGCACCTAATGTTAGGAATGACAGTGTTGCAGAGAGGTGTCTCTGGTTCTCTGTGAAGGCTTGTATTATTACAAGATCAAGAGGCTTAAAAACCTGGCTTTAAACAGCACATGATTCACCAAAAATACACAGGCTTGCTTGGAGATACTTGGGATTTTAATTATATATGGGGGGTTGGGTTGTTAAATTACTCATTACAATGAGCATACCCCCTTCCCCGTTTCTTTGACTCATAAGTATGAAGGCAGGCTGTCTTTGACTCGATTGCTAATTTAAGTACTGCTAAGCCTTACTGCAGCAGATGTGTGCAGCATGTGACTGTTTGCCAAAAGAAATCTGGTTGGAGTTATTTTACAAGTTTGTAAGTCAGTTGCCCTTTTCTAGGTATCTTGCAGTTCGTCATTGGGTTATAATTTTAATTTTGTGTTCATTTTTATGCAAGCAAATGTTGACTTTACTTTCCTTGTTGTCTGCAATTACAGGATGAAGGCATGGTTAACATAAATTATTTTCCTCCTAATGGGGCAATGGACTTGATGTACTTCCCATACTATGGGAAAAGCTTGCATGTAAGTTTCCCTTAATGATGTTCTTCACTTTGTGTTTTGCTTCTGTGTATATTTATAGTTGCTAGTAGCAGATTAATTCTGAAGTTTGAACTTTGTAATGAGGTACTGCTGAGGAGTATTGCAAATGCAGACATTGCACAGTGCTCGATGAGGCTGGAGACGTGCTTTGGCAGACAGGAACAAACTGGGCATTGTCCTAATGGAGGAGTGGCTGTACACCAGCAGTCTGGAGAGTGACTGCTCTTCTTTGCTCATTGAAATCTTTTGTAGTCTTTCTGAGTGCCAGGAAAGGCAGGAGAAGTAATCTGTGTCTTTATGTTACAATACACTTTCTAGTAGTTAATCCTTGGCGTTTCTCTATAGGATGTTAAGTTTATAAGTCCTTATGGTGTTCATTATATTTCGTTGTGGCTCTGCATGTCATGCTTTCTATTTGCCCTGTTTTATGAAGAAGGACTTCAATGCAGCAGATAGGTTTGGGGTTTTTTAAAATCATTGTTGTAAAAACAATGTCACTACTTTATCAACACAGTATATATAGAATTAAAACTCCAGTTTCTTTTGAAACTTGAATTCAACTTTTTATTTTCTTGAGTCAATTTGTGATCACTGTATGCAGAAAATCTGTATGTTCTATAAAATAGAAAATTACATCGCCTCTTACTGCCCAAGTTATTTAGTCTAATAAATGCTGTTCACCATTGAAGATAAAGGTACTTTTTCAAACATAAATCTATTAAGTCCATAGTGTACCATGGTGGGTGGTTGTAATTACACCAAAGTGATTTTGGTGTTAAATTACTCCTTTCTCAGTTATTTTTCCAGTGTACGCTCTACTTGCAGAAGTTCCATAACCTTTTTTAACCTCCCATGACTTTTAGTAATGCAGAAGAAGCTTGTTTTCCTTCAACATTTGCTTTCATGTTACTTCTGGGTAATTCTATATTTTCCATTTTGTTGCCATGTTATGAATTAGTAACTCATCTATTCACTTAGGCATGCAAATTAAAGAGAGATTTCCTGTGCTTCAAATAGCTGGAGTCAGCACAGACTCTATCCTGTTCTTGGAATTAAAGAATAGGGAAAGAGAGCACTGCTTCCGTAAAAAATGCAAAATACAGTATCTGTGCACCTTGACATGTCGAAACCCACTTTGTACCAAGGATGGGATGAAGAACTTAAGTAACAAAATTCCCATCTTGCTGCTATACTGATGGAAAATGGAAGATTATGAAAGACACTAATGAAGATAAGCAAGACACAGTGCTATTCCTTGCTTGAATTAGGTGATTTAGAAAATTTGGTTTTTAATTATTATTTCTTTGCCCCCAGTTTTTGGTTCATTGTCCTTTCATGTTCTTTGTCAATTTGGAACAGAGGCTATGGTTTTAGGGATTCTTGCTTACGTGAGGCCTAATTTTCCTGACATGAGCATAGTGAGAAAAGGAAGAGAGGCAGTAGAAGAGTTGTGAGAAGTCTCAGTATTTGACTGAATCTCAAGGGTCTGGATCGATTCCTTGGCTATGCAACAGAATTTTTATATTATATCAGTGTGGAACTGTTAAATTACTTTAATCTGTAAAGGAGTTAAGTAGATTTGAATAAACTTGCTGCTCTTGTTCAGATAGGAACCAAAAAAATACTAATGTCTACAATTTTGTGGTCCAGGATGGTTCTTGTCTTTTGCTGCTTTGTACAATAAGCCCAACTCTGACCTTGGAGAATGTTCCCTTTTCTAGATGATTTGATGATCCTCACAGTTAATGAGGATACTGCCTCACTTCCCTCCTCCAAATTTTATGTGGAGTAAAAGTCCTTTCTGGTATCATCTCTTTTCAAAACATCACAGAAAATTGTGTGCCCCTTTGGAAAAGCCTTGATGGTGAGAAGACTTTTCTCCCTGAGAAAACATTGGAATTTTAGTTTGGATTATTAGAAGACTCTTAAGTGTGGTATCACCCTTACAACTGGGAAGTTTTGAGGGAGCCTTGCCTAGCTGCATTTCCTCCCTCCCAGTCTGAAGTTTATGGGAGCACAGGAAAATTTCTGTTCTAGTAAAACCATTATCCAGTGAAAGCAGCTACTCCAGTCTGTTTCTTACTAGTACTTCATATTAAAGATTTTAGCACATCTACTTCCATGACATTATCTTTTTTAAATGAGACTTGGAGTATTTTCTAGTGTGCTCTTTGGTAGAGAAGATAGCCTGAAAACAACAGAAATATATTAAAGAGTCGTAGGTTAAATAAGGATGAAAAAAGTATTATCACAAAATTTTGTTCAATTAAAATTCAAAGTTTATACTTATGTAATACTGTAGTGTTGTATTTAGTCCACTGACTTATATGAATTGTTATATGGAAAATAATTTTGCATAATCATCAGTCAGAAGTACTGGCCTAAAATTATTAATAAATGATGGAAATGCTTAATGAACATTGCATAAAATGCTGCCTTAACAGTGTATAATAAGCTCCTATTTAATTCATAGGCGCTTTACAAGAGAATGCAAGTTCTTATTGAATTGGATGTGAGGTACAATATGGGGTTGACAAAAGAATGGAACTGATTCTGCTCTCATTCTTAAATTTTAATTTTTACAGCAGCCACCAATTGTAATTGTTCCACCAAATATGACTGACCAGGAAAGAAAGTGTCAGGATGTTCAAGGAAGAGTTTCTCTATAAAGCTATTAAACAGATAACACCTTTCAGAATGGTTTGTTGCTGAAAAAGTAAATGGGATAGGGGAGAAGGGAAACTGGTTTATTAGTATTTGTTGAGTCAGGCTTTTGGAAAAAAACAACACTTTAAACCCTGCTGGAAAAGTTGTATTCTGTAGCAGATTATATGCACTCTGCCAAACCAAACCCAAAACAAGCAGAAGAGTCAATAGAACAGGTTGGAAGACACTAATTTCTGAGCTTCTGTCACTGAAGGTTTCTAGAATAATGGGACCTAATAAAATAGAAAGTCTTATGCGTCTTGAAGATACTCTGTGACCCAAATTCTGTTGAATATATTAGTTAAGAAATAGTATGAAGAATGTATTTCTAACCTGGGAAAAGAAAGTGCCTTACCTGAATCAGATTGGACTTTGAAAAGTTGGGTTCCTAATTAGCTTTTTCTTAACTGTTCTGATGGATTAAATGTTAATTTAATGCTAACTTATTCTGGTCTCTCAAATATTTTCCCCATCTTTCTGTTTACTAGGCTCACTATTTGCAGCCTTTAGTGGCTGTTCAACTAGCAATTACCCCCAACGGTACCAAAGAAGAAATAACAATTGAGTGTAAGATCCGGGGCTCACCTAATTTAAAAAATCAAGATGACCGTGACAAGTTTCTGGGACGAATTGCCTTCAAAGTTCTGATGTCTGAATAGCTGGAGTAAGCACTCTCCACAAAGTAAATGTTGTGTTGTCTGTTTTGTATCAGCTGGACATGCCATTCTAGGATATGAGACCACCTTGAGGAATGTTACGGTGGTTTATGGCGTTCAGGGTAGCATAATAATATGCTTCCAAATTGTATGTTTAAATTCCCTTAAAATAAATGCCTATCCTGCTTTTTGCCTGCCCTGTTGGAACAGTGTACAGACTATAGTTATGTCATAGGGACCTGTAAATAGCTGTTTTCAAACACATAATAATGGTGACCTTTGTCCTGCTCTAAAATGTGTTTTTATCCTCCAAGTGAGTGTCTCAAGCTTCATGTGCTGTGCTCTGTAAATATTGTATTGGTTTAACACTGGTTTAACTGTCATATCTCAATGCTGACACAGTTTAGAGGGATAAATAATAAATGGTACCTGATTGACATAGTGATTTCTTGGTAAGAGTAAACACCTCCAGCATAAATTGTGTGTATGGGAGTGGGTGGGTCAGTGGATGGGTGGCTGTGTGGCGATGCCTTAAATTGTAGACTGGGTGGTGTGGGAGAACTGAAGTGGATTTTAAGAGTTGGTATGAATACCTGAAAGTAAGTGCTCAACTAGTACTTTCTTGTGCTTGTCACTGTGCAAGTATTGTGTACATGTAATACTTGGTATAGAGTTTGGTGTTGTAGATGAGGAATTGAACCTTTCTTTGTGTTGTTAATTGCTTGTAATATGTGGAGCACAAATAAAATCTACAATATTTTGAAACTTTTTAGTTCAGAAATATCAATAGAAAACAATTTAAATAGTTTAGGATCCTGGTAACAGTTGTACAACAGAGCTGCTTGAAAGAAGTGGCCTCACTATTGTGGGAATAGGCTTTGATTTTTCCAATTTAAAAAATTCTGGAAGAAACTCTGTTTAAGTGTTTAAGAAAAAAAAAAAGGAAAAAGAAAGGATTGTCCTGATTAAAACTTCTTGTTTAATTTATATATGTTTTGTCGCATCATTTTAACATCTCACATCTTCATCTGCTCTTTCATCTTGGACTTTCTGTGTATTTCATCATCATCATCCATTTAGAAAATTTATGTCATCAACTGCTTTGTAGAAATACCTTGTTGACTTGGGGTTAATTACTTGCAGTGTAACATAAAGTGCAGCTGCTAAAATGACAACAACCAGACTGGTTTCCTTGTGACTGCTGCTCACTTTGAGCCAGGCTGAGCCATGCTATTGGGCTGACTTGGGCAGTTGAAGTGACATGCAATTTATATTACTCTTCCCTAAGGTTTTTGTGTCTTTCAGTCTGGGGGGGCTGGGCTTGAGCTCATGGTTCACATTTTGATGTCTTCCCAATATTAAAGACCACAGCAAATCTGCATTTGTGTAAATACCTGTATGTTGTGCTAGTTAGGCCCAAATTTGTTACTTAACAACTTTTATACCTAATTATTACAGTGGTTTTTAATATTTTATTTAAACAAATTAAATGAAGGATTTCTAAAATTCAAGATCCAGTCTTAATGCCCTGCTTTAAGTTTGGGGCCAGTCTAAGCCACATTAGTGAAAAACTTTTAACAGCTGTGCAAGCCTACACTGATGCACAGTTGGAGGAAGCTGCTCTTAATGGGACTTGAACAGTGTCTTAAACCTCATTAAAAATAGATTTATATTGATCTGATACCATTCAGCATGCTTTTTGTTGTCTACAAAAGAAAGTTGTTGTTACTACAATAGGCAATGAATATTTTTGTAATAATGGCATGCGTTAATACTGAATGAGATGTTCTTTCAAAATATTCCATTACTAATGTTTTATGATGCACTTTTAGAGCTGGGATACCTGGCTTCTTGAAGATATGACTAATTGCTTCTCCGTGTATTAATACTGCCTGAAAGTATTTTAATAGTTGTGAGGGACCTTGAGTGTAGCTGTTGCATCTGACAGTGAAAAGGACTAGGTTAATGTAAAAGCTTCTCACATTTGTGTTCACTTAGGAATGGTAAGAAGTTCTGGAGAAACACTCAGTTTTCAAATGAACTTGTTTTTTGCAACAATTTCTCTTTTGACTTATCTTGTCTATAGACAAAGCATGAAATGGCAACTTTTCACCAGCACTTTTCAGACAGGTAAAACTCAATAAACTCCTGTTCTCCCTAGATTCTGTACAAGTGTTTTTTGTTTTTTAAATTTAAACATCTAAAGATTATCACTTGGGGGAGGGTGAGGGGAGAAAGAAAAAAAACACTTTTGGAAGGGTTCAACTATCAAACGAAGCATGTAAATTGTATGTGGGTAGTAAGTCTAGTGTTAAGCTATTTAATTAAACTGAACTATTTCTTATTTTTATTTCTGTGTCTTGAGTAATAAAGGATACAGCAATTATCTGTAAACAGGTGTACAGACTATTAGGGCAGGATAAAATTACTCTTTTCCTTCATATGAGCTTTAGAGTAAAGGTTTCTTAGCCTTCATTTTAAATAATGAATAAAGATTTAAATTAACTTCCGTGTTATCAGAAACCTGAAATGTTTAACTTTTATACTGGTAAATTCTTACTAGGTAACTTTTAGTGCCTTCAAATCTGGAATAAGGACTTTTAATTTCAAACTTGTAAAATTGCCAGTGTGTGTCCAAATCAGCTGAGGTGCCTTTCCTTGCCATGCCCCGCTGCCCCTACCACACCCCATGTGAACACGCACAGAGGGTTACAGGGAAAGCTGAGGAGAAGCTTGTCAAAAGACAAAATGAGCTGGAAGGCTTTAGTTACATCTATCCTGCAGTAGATAAGATGATCCCTTGAGGACAGATGCCATTTAGCACTGACTAGTAATTACTTTCAGCTGAGGATGATGCTGCTTGTAGAACAGCAGTAAAGAAAACTCCTTCCTTTTGTACTGAAATGTCTGCTGTAGTAGTTCCCCAGCAGTAGATAGAAAATCTGGATGCAAATGAAGAGCAGAAGGAAGGACTAAAGGAGTTGTGAATCAGTATGGAAACAAAAACAAGAGTGGGGAGGGTGGGTATTGTTTTCTGTGGTTTTAATCCCCTGCACCCTGCCTCTTTCTCAGTAGGAGATTTGGAAAGGAAAAATATATTTCTCAGCACCAAGCCCTGCTGAATAATTTCATACAATTCTTTAAATGCAGTGTTCTCAGGAACCTGGTACTGAATCTGGATTTGCCCTGGTTATCTCTCTGTGAAGTTTATTCATCACTGTTTTTGGAGAGATTGAATTAAATAGAGCTTGAAGCTGAACAAGAACTTTGCATCAGAAGGTATACTTTGGTCTTCTTAAAAAATGAGATGAGTCACCTGTGATAGAGAAAACTGTAATTTAAGGGTTTCTGGAAAAATCCTAGATGCTAAGAGTGTGTGGGAAGCTCTTGAGTATGCATTTAAAAACCACAGAATGCTCAAAGCTTAAATCTTACAGATTTTTGCAATTATTCGGAGCTTTGACTTCCCTGCTAGTGGAAGTGCTAATCATCATCTTGCTAGTTGGACACTTTGTTTAAACACCTCAGCATTCACACGAAGTCTACCATCAAACTACTGAAGCCTTTTAATGAATTTATATTTACAGTTTGTGTTAGTATACCTGGAAGTGCTTTTTTTCTTAGAGAAAAAAACATTCTGTTAATGTCATCTACCATGACAAATCTGTCATTTAGACAGATTTTTTTTTTTCACATTGTAATAATAGAATATGTGAGGCATAAATGTGTTCAGAAACTACTGTTCAGTTTTGCCTGTAGGTCAGATCTAGCTCTGTACCTGAGAATAGAAAAAGCTTCACCTGCAATGGGCAGAAATCTGGTCTCCCTTTGCTCCAGGCTGATGCAAATGTGGAATGGCCTGAGGTGATTCTGTGTTCCCCCTGTAGACTGGGGGAATATAATTATTTTATTTTCTTTTAGTAACACCACCTGGGGTTTCCTTCCTGTTTCCTTGTGAAGACCATCACTTTTGTATTGGAAGCTTTACTTGTATTCGCTGTACTGAGGGGAGAAATCACTGTAGTAAGTTTGATCCTCAGCTGTTTGGTACCATGAATCTTTGTCCTGATGCTTGTTTGGTTAAAGATGTTGGCTACACACCAAAAATGGGACTCCTCTTTTACCTTAAAAGTTTCCTGACTATGAATAGTCAGTGTTACTATAGAAAAAGCATCCATCATAGAGGCCTCGTTTTAGAGTAGTCTTGCAACAGAAGTTGCCCTTCAGTTAAAACATGTAAAACTGCCATTGTCTTGTTAGAAGCATTTTAATATAAATCAGAGTGAGTTCCTCTGTGAGATACTTGCTGCAGGTTTTCTTCCTGTCTTAATGGAGGAGAAAAAACATCAGAGAAAAGCTAAGTAAAAAATTCAGGTTGCTGCAGTTTGAAGTATGTTAATTTGGTGAGTGATTCTTAATGTAAAATCATTAGCAGAACTATCAGAAAATCATTAATACAAGGGTTACTAGAAACTTGAATGTCACTAGTGTGACTAATGTGTAGTTGGAATCAAATAGCTCTAATAATTCATGACAAAAAGTAAGACTTTTTTTGTCTTTTTAAATCAGGCAAGCACCTAAGAAAGCCAGTAAAGGGAATTTCAAAGTTTTGCTCACTAGCATGTACTTAAATCTTTTAATGTGGTCTGAACAGTAAGTATTGCATGGAGCTGTGGAAGCAGTGCCTCATCTTTGCATTACCTGAAGGGAAATGTTAAGAGTTTAATCTGGATTTGGCAACAATTCCTGTAAAAAGCTCATGGTTAGCAATGTATTTGGAACAAAAGTCTTCATATTCAAGTATAAAAAGTTTACTTAGCTGTGTGTATTGTGTATTAGAAAGGATTATCTTCTTTTGAAATTGTTTTACAGTTGTATGGAATAAAAATGTGTTTTTCCAGTACCCAAATGTTATGTGGCTTGCAAGCATATTATGCTATTTCTGTTTTTCTGACACAAGAGAGCTCCTACAGTGATAACTCCTCCAGGGTTTGTTGTCCCTAACAAGGTCTCTCTTAAACCTGCTGGGCTGCAGATTCCAACTTCAGAAACTGCCACTTCACTCCTAATTACAAATGGGATAGATGCACTTAATACCATAAATATTTTAATGGCTATTATTATTTAGTACCAAGTTCTCTTAACATTTTAAGTGTTCTTGTGAATGTGAAAAAGCATAATGCATGAGAGCATGGGTGAGTTTTAGTGTAAGGAATTGAGTTTTTACTTAAAGCTTTTTTTAATACTTCTTTTGCCTTTCAGTTTTCAGGAGAGGCTAGCACAAATTTGCACATCTGTAATTATGCAAGTTCGTCTCGAAATTTGTGGAGAAATTGCTTGATTTAAACATTACTTACAAGTGGTCATGAATTTCAGACCAGTTGATTTAAATGTTAGTTTAAAACAAATCCACAGATAATCTTACAAATCTTAATGTGCTCTTAAGTTGCAGCAATGGCTCTACCTTCTTTTGAGAGCAGTTAATTATTTTGTCCTCTAAATTGCATAGTAACTTTCTTGTTGGGTATAAGGGAACTTTTTTTTTTTTAAGCTGATAGCACGGAAGAGTTTGCACTGAGGTTCAAGGTGATGTATTAACCTACAGGTGAAGCCTGAAATACTTCTTAATTTTTTAAGTTATCTTAAAGGACACAAAACAAGAATTTGGTGAATAAGAGCATTACATAAAATCTGTTTCATTTGACAGAGAAAGTAACTGACCCCAAAGCAAGAGTATAGTAAAATGTTTGTAGTTTTCAGTAGTAATAATAGCCTCACCTAAAGCTGAGGCATGGCAGGAAAACAGTGAAAGATCATTGAGGCACTGCAGTAGTGAGGTACAAGTTGGACTGGAATGGCAGGGCAAGAGTGATAACTGTCTATTAAAGAAACCAGGTAAAGCAGCTGTTGGTGAATAATACTGGATGTCATTTGGCCTTAATTTTTTTTTCTGCATGGGAAAAGTCATGATGGTGTGTATGGTCTTTGCTTCAATCATGCTTAAAACTTCCCTTAATAACAAAACTTGGGGGAGGGGAAAAAAACAAAAACCAACCTTTCCAGCATTATTCTGAAGATCTACACTGCTCTGTAGATCTTGAACTGCAACGTAGTTTGCAATGACAAGTGTCTCTTGGCTCACTCAAACAGCTGTGGTCAGACATCTTAATCAGATCACAAATTTGAAATTTCCACACAGTGAAATGTGTCTGGAGTCCTGTTTCTAATGGGGGAGAAGGAAGGGATAGTAATCCATATTTTTCCTTATTACTTCTCCTATTTAAGGCTTAGTTCTAATTTAATGGTAGGACTTATTTTATATGCTCTCTTTCCTTTAGTAGTGTTAGGTCCCTCTTAGTAGTTACGTTCACATATAGTAGTGGAATTAATGAAAGTGTATCAAAGGTCCTTTTTGATAAAACACTTAGTTCTTCAAGATCTTCCATTTATTGGTAGAGTTTGGGAGGATGTGTAGAAGAGGACACCTTTCTTCTGAACACAGCTGGCTGGTGGGACAAGAGAGAAGATCCCTGGACTGCTAACCAGGTCATGGTTTACCATCACAGTCACACACACAAGCTCTCATTTGAGGTGTTCTTCAGGAAGTGCAGCCTGGAAGGGCCAAGAAAGAGCCATGCAGGTCAGTGCCTATGAACAGCTTAGTGACTTGACCATTTGATCTTTTTGAAATAATGTGCACAGTCTCTAGCTAAAAATAATACATATGATGATTGATCTGGATGCTCCTAATGGCTTGAAAAGTACCTTGAAAATTACAGTCTGTCACCTGTATTTTAGTGGATCCATGTGTTTGTCTAAAGCCTTGTGCTTCCTGCTGCAGTGTCGCACTGTCAAGCAGAAAGCTGCTGCAGTGGATCTCATGTTTGCAAATGCCCCAATGTGTTAAAGTAGGTCAGAAATTGCATAAGATGCCAGTACTGGAAACTGCTGTAGGCTGACTTGCATATGAAAAGTCAGCAGTGCAACTGGCAAATGCACTCTGACAAAGAGAAATGCAGCCGTGGCTTAAAACATGACAAGAGAGCTCTCTGAAATCTCCCTAGGATATGAGTGGCTGTTGGAATTGTGAGATGTCTTTGCCCCTTCAGTTCATGTTCCTGCTATCTGCTGAGCCAGAGCTGCCTGCCTGGCTTGTCAGG